CGGTCCAATAAGTTTCTTCTGCAAATACTGCTTTGAAATTTCCATTATAATATTCAGAATTGCTTATTTTAAAATATATAATTAGTGGGATTATTTTCGTTAATATGTTGTAAATGATGTCTACAATAATAGTATTGTAGTTTTCTTTTATCGTTATACTGTATAAAACAATTATCAAAAATCTGATGCTAATATACTACTTTAAACTATATAAATAGTTACGTTATACATTTATTCTGTAACAGCCAATTATGCAAATGTCTGATATGCTGAAATCTACCCATAGCTCTTATAAAGTCATTGTAGAGAACTACAGAACCGGGAAGATCACAATGGTCCGGGAGTGTACTAAGAAAGTTGGAAAAGGTATCATTTATGTTGATGTCCCCCCTGTAGTAAATAAATTTGTTGAAGATTTTGCAAATGCTATTGGATATTCATTCGATAAGCATTATGACTTTATTGAATTATTTAGGCGGAAGTTTCTAGGAACTAAAAAGTCTGGTAAGGTTAATTGTATAAAAGTACTGGTATTTGCTCTACACTCACTTCTTGTATTATAGTTGAACTTCCACTGCTTTTTCGTATCCTAGATGTCTTCGAAAGAGGAGCTAAAAATTACAAGGCAAAGAATGGTGGCAAACAACCAGTGTTAATCCTCGACAACATAAGTAAGATAGGCCAGGAAGATGTGAACTTGTTGAAGGATTTGTAGGATCTTGCAAAACTCTATACTGACCAGAGCAGTTGTGTTATTGTGTTTGTCAGTAGCGAGGTAACAGTACCACGCATAATGATACATAAGTATTGTATAAAGTGATTTGTCTATATTCCTTGCTGATGGCTTCTTTGCTCTACTCTAGAACGATCATCTTGATTACGCGCTGAGAAAGTTTCTATTTTCATTAGAGATCTAATTGACGAAGAGGTATTCACCTACATTCACAAAAAACTTTACATTGAGGAAAAGGTCACCAATCAACTCATCAAACTCTTAGATGGCTGGATTAATAAGCTTAAGGATTATGGTAATAAGATAAATGAAGGCTATAATTTTGAAGTTGAGAGAGCATTTACTATCTAGACAATGAAGATGGTATTTTGCATGAACTTTGTGTGAACGTTTTCATCACACTTAAATATTTGCTTTTAGAAATTCGTAAAATGGTGTTCTATTTCGTCGTAAATGACTTTCGTCAGGCTCAAATGATAAAGGGTGAAGTAAATCATGCCATTGGCAATGTCATTGTTAAGAAGTTGATAAAAAATGAAAAAATCAAGTATAATGCATTCATTAAGCTCATCAACAATAAAGAAATAGCCGATAAACTGATACAAGCCAATGTTTTCTCATATAACACGGAAAACAATTTTGTCATCTTCCAGTCTCACGCAAAAGAAATTTTTGTGAAAGAAAATCTGAGAGGAGTTTTTTCTTACTCAAAGCAATAATAGTTATCAAATAAAATTTACTTGAATTTGCATTTTTATATATTAGTTGCTATTTCTAGCAATGATTTATTTAAGTATTGTATATCCTATTCATTTTTACATGTACGTAATGAGTAAATCTAATTTGTGATACAAAATAAATGGGTCACGTGATGACAGAATTTTCTTTCAGCTAATATTCTGGGTATTATACCTAGAAATCAGAATTATTTCTAAGATTAATCAGGTTATTTCGTATAGCTATTTTGAAGCTCTGTCCACAAATTCGTACATATATTGATCACGGTGATCCAAATTTTGGCGCAGTCAAATCCGAAGGCTCAGTGTTGATCAATTCTTAGATTTTTGTTATCAAGCATTTCATAAATTCTAAATTTTAAATAATGGTTAATAATTAATTTTTCAGTATATTTCAGCTTGTTTTTCATCTTAAGGTGCTGCAGATTTCTTTCCAATTTTATCAAATATTTATTACGCTAATCTTTTCAATAATTTCAGGGCTTGTCGTATATTTCTTTCTTCTTAAATAATGGCTGATAAGAAGTTATTACAAAAATTATCACACAATCTTATTTAGAGGATAATGAATATTATGTTAATTAATATTAATTAAAAATATAAAAATCGAGACTGATTCTGTATATTTATTTCCAAATATAAAATGAAAGTTTATAATCAGAGGGCACATAATAATTTTCGAACTAGAATAATTTATTTTGATGACTCTTGACTTTATAGAGTGACGTAAATTTCATAAAATAAAGGTCTTGTTTTAACTTTTTTAGCATCCGTTAAAATATAAAGTATTAGAAAGTATAATTGAAGCTGAAGTAAATAAAATATCAATTAAATAAAGAATTTTATTATTGATGTAGCTAAAACGCAAATACTTATAATTTAAAATTTTCTAAATTTGAAATTTAACTATATGGTGGAAATTTGCTTAATTTATTATGCATCATACCATACCGCCTCTTAATCATTAATACTTGCATATAAAAAAATACAATAATTATGTTATCGTAACATGTGCCTCAAATACAATGTTAAGATTTTCATATCTTGCACAATATGTATCACCACATCATTATCATTATACGTTTTTGGGTTAAAAAAAAATTTTTTTTTAAAAAAAAGCTTTCTTTTAAAAATAATAACAATGTCTGCTAGTGACAATAAAGGTAAAAGTTTAATAGAAATGGAAATAAAACTTAACACGCCTGAAATGAATATATTTGACAGTTAGAATTAAATATAACAACTATAATACTGCAATTCGTTAATTATATTTTTATTTAATTTAAAATTTGAAATGTAGAATTAGTTCCGAATGATGATGCAGGTAAATACAATAACTAATATATTTATTTAACAAATATTATAATTTAACCATATTCTTCAAAATATTAAAAGGATTGCATGGTATAGAATAAACTATCTATTATTAGTCAAT